ATCACAACGAAATAACTAAAATAGTTATTCTAGGTATTTTTTATGTAATTTCATCCAAATTTGAACTTAAAATTACTATAAAAATAAACTGTGCGTATGTATTTTTAATATTTTTCAACTGATATTGTAAAAATATATCAGGAGCCTTGTATTAAACTTTTACACTTTTTGGCCCAACCGATAAAACTTTTCTAATCAAAAGTACCCAACATTATTATCACTGTTTGTTTAATCCATATCTTATATTTTAATTATATTTCAGTAACTATAAATAAGTTTGCCCAAAAATATATAACTAATAGATTATATCATATTACCTAATTCATTTTTCAATGATCATAATTACAAATTGAAAATTGAAAATTTAATGCCAATCAGATGTCAAAAATAAATTTGATCATATTATTTATTAATTTATAGTGTACCTATACTGTATCTCAAAAGACCCATACACCTTAATTACCTTTGTGACAAATCAATTTATCTCAATACAGTTTTTTAAGTAAAATATAAGAAATTATAAAGCGGGACATTATTAAGGCTAATCTTAATTACTCGTACTAAAGCTCAACAATTAGCATGTTATTCAACATCAAATAAAATTCTTAATAGATATGGAATAAGTATAACTATTAGTAGACATAAAAATTTGAACGATAAAAATATAACATGATTTTTATTCAAGGAATTTGCTTACCAATACTATTAGAAATGGTTGATTAAGAAAATTAAAAGTTAGGTATAGTAAACCTTTGTTTTAACGATATAAATTTTAAATTTAAATAATTAAGAGAAACATTTAAATGGCTTATAATTATATCAATAAGTTTTAAAGTTAGACAATTATTCTAAATTAATATGTAACAAATGACATATTACATTCTTCCAACAGAAAAAAACTGCACAAAATAAATTTAAAATTACCTAAATTGAAACTTATAATTTATTAATAATTTTTACAAATTTTAAAATTTTATAGAAGAATCAAATATTTCATAATATTTATATATTGTCACTTATATTTTTTTATACTTGGTAAGTATCATAATTAAATTATTAAAAAGGAACCAGAATCATATTATAATCAACTATTGATAGTCACACTGTGATTTAACTGACTCTATTTATTATATTACCGTCTTTGACTTGAACAACAACATGTTATTCAAAAAGTCTTTCTGCACTTAAAGATGAATAAAAACTAGACAATCAACAATAAGCGAAGTACGATTCAGTGAACTTTGTGTGATGAACGTACACCGCAATAAAATACAAATAAAATTAATAATTAGGAAACCTCAAAATTAACAAACTAATTACTAAATTCACTACTAACTCCTAAATACAAATTCTAGAAAAATACTAATATATTTAAATTAATATTGTACCCCCGCCAACCCCAATAAACAACATTTATGGGCACCCATAAATAAATCTATAACTATTACCTATAGACAGTAATAATAAATAACTAAACAAATATATAGAATAGGCTCAGTTCTACTATATCCAATGACATGTCTTAATGAGAATAGTTTGTGAAGAAGATGTTAATATCAACTATAAATATTATGTTAAAATCAATCAATTTAATTTTTAAGTTTTTTTACGTTGATTAAAACTCTTATTTTGTATTTAACTAATATTAGTATAATGTTAAACTTATTATTAGGGTGGGTTTTCAAACTTTTCAAACCCACAATCTACATCAACTTAAGCAAATTTAAGTACAAATTTGAATAAATTTAAGTTCAATAGTTTGAATTGTTCAAGCATTATCAAGTTTGAAAATATGTTCAAGTATGACAGCAGATTTTTTTTATCATTATCAAATGTAAACACTGTTTTACTTCTATTAATTTTTTTAATTTATTATGGTTAAACTTTTTTTTATAAATAATAGACTTAAAAAAATTGGATTAATTTAACAAGACATTTAAGTACCTAATAGTTTGTATTTTTTATACATTTTAAAGATTGGTGTAACTAAAAGGACTAAAACATAAAGGTAATTAGTCATACATTTTAGTTGGTGGATAAGTGAAATTATATGAAGAAACTGACTTGGTAATTCACTGATATTTACACGGTATTTGTTACAAAACAAATGACAAAAATAAAATAAATGGCTCGATTCACCCCTATATGTGTACAATATTATGAAGTTTGAATATGTGAATGTGAAAGTTTTTATCAAGAGTAATTTAAATAATATTTCCAAAATTCGAAAAAAAATTTAAGGCTATAAGCTATACTAACTTAAAATGAGTCAAAATATCTCTAGAATATTACAATTATGGAAAATGCTAATATAAATATTTGATGAAAATTTCAAGGGTCTACTGTTATTAATTTTTGAGTTACACACTTACACCAAAAGAATAAAATCGATTTTTTTCAAAAAATGCTTTTGCATAGCATTTACCACTTTTTTTTTGTTTTTATTGACGCTTTCAAAAACTACTTGGCATTTTCAATTTTGATATTGCCAAAAGTCCCAACTAGATTTGATGCTGATCAGAGCATTTTTACTACCCAAAATGTTGCTGACAAGGCGGAAAAAAAATAAAAAAACGCATAATTGTAAAATCAATATGTACTATTGCTACGCTCAGAATCTTATATACTATAAATTAACCTTCCTACATTTTAAATCAACAAATATGTTAATAATATCATTATATTTTAGTTGGTCAGCAGCTTCTTTTTCTATAGATATTATAGCTAAGTTGGTGACTTTTTTTGGGGCAGAGAGCTTTGAAGATAGTAGTTTTTATAATTTTCAGTTTTAATAATTTAATTTTAATCACTAACTCGTTTAAAATTTGATACATTTAATTTACGTCAACTAATATAGGTAGGTATAGTTAGTAAATATTACAACAATTGAATGTATAAAATATACCTGGATGATATATATTTTTTTGCTCATTAATTTGACTTTTTTTATTGTATCTATAAAAGCGAGGCTGTTAAGCGTTCTGTGGTGGTCCAACTGTGGAGAAGGCTCTAAACGGCCCTACATAGATCTTATACTAATAGACTGACCACGGTATTAATTCCAGCGGCCTGATCAAGCTAGTACACTGCACACGCGCAAAACAACTATGGAATTGTAAAATCATTTTAAATTACATTTTGTTGTAGAGTGACTATACTTAATACTAACCATTATTAACAATGCTTTAATCCTCAAAAAATAGCAACACTGGTGTCTTGCCAGGAAAGACCGTACCACCTACCCGCATCCTACTTGGATGTTCCGTCTATTAGTACAAGGTCTATGCATTTACCTAAGTCTGTAGTTTTTTTTTTTTACATGATGAGTTGAAATGATAGTTAAAGGGAATCTAATAAAACAAAAGAGAACTGTAAAGACTAAATTTCTATATATAACTCAGAGCTTAACATTTAAAATGTGTTTCTATTGTTACCATGTAAAGATGGAAAACAAGAATAATGTTTTCAATTGAATAATGAAGTATTAAAGTTAAGTTAAATGAATGCTGATAAATGATAACAAAAAATAACTAAGTGATATCAACAAAAAGCCATTATTATTTAAACAAATAATTGTGTCTTTTAATTAGAGGTGTTCCGGGTACCCGGTTATCGAGTCCAAACCGGGTACCCGATATCATATTCAGTACCCGACTAATACTCGTTACCCGGCGAATTATTAAAAGATGACTTGGACAGTACCCGGTACCCGGTGTAAAGCTACATTTTTACCCTGGAATATACCCGGTACCCGGCTTAATAAACCCGGCACCCGGGTTATAAATAATAAAAAAAAATGTGTGCCCACAATCGACCAAACGAAAATATTTTATAAAATTATAATAGTAGTTACTAGTTAGTACTAGGCACTAGCCCCTCCGGCCCCCATGCTAGTTGTTATGACTATAAAATAAATGTTTTTACTTTTTATGCTTTATTTTAATTTTTAATTTTGTTTAACCAAATTAAAACTATAAGTAGTTATGTTTGCAGACTTGCAGCTAATTTTTTATTTAGTAATTACCTATCTGATATTTAGAGTGAATCAACCTATCAATTATTATGAAACTTGATGGTTAAAAGTTAAAACATTATCTGAGTTTGTATGTGGGGTTTTTACAATAATTCAGTTTTTAAATGATCCATGAGCATTTTTAATTTATGCTATATTATGCAAAACTTTCTAAAAAAAATTAAGTATCACAAAAAACCATATACAAATTACAAACTGATAATCTCCATTAAATGTTGAATCAGTTTTAAATTTTAACAGACATTATTATTTATTACTTGGCTAATACTCAGTACATGGTATTTAATATTTATGTAAATTATTACTTGACCAGTACCCGAGACTCAGTTTTTAAAAAAATTATTACTCGACCAGTACTCGAGACTCGGTTTCAAAAAAATTATTACTCGACTAGTACTCGAGACTCGGTTTAAAAAAAAATTATTACTCGACCAGTACTCGAGACTCGGTTTTAACAGATATTGTTACTCGACAAATACTCGGTACCCGGTTTATAAGTAAAAACTGTACCCGGAACACCTCTACTTTTAATCATCTTTCAATACCTCGACCAATACACATACATAAAACTAACTAATCCTAGGCATTTCAAATTAAGCTATAATAGTTTTATATTCAAGTATAATACCTACTACGTTTAGTTGAATAGTTGAATAATTTCTAATACTAAGTCAAAATGTTTTGAAAAATTGATCAATGAGTTTTGTAAACAGCTTTCTAAATTATGCGAAAGTGAAAACGCCCTACTTCTCTAAACTTGAAATCTAATTGAATAATCTTACAATTGTCAACTGGGAAATTGTGGACATTTTATACTTAATTTCTTGTGTTTATAAAAAAAAGTAATGTTGTGCCAACTATGTGAATATTAATGATTTTTCAGCAATTAGTTAATAATATCAGTGTTAGTGTACAATAAATTTAATTAGCAAATATAAAAGCAACGAAAACATATTAATATACTAACCAAGTCTGGTCAATTGCCGCCTGTTGCGTATCCAAGAGAACATGGTCATAGATTGTTCGTACTTTGAGACACGACTTACATTAACCACAGCCTAAGTGTAAGACGTCACTGGAGTGTCGGCACATTATCGACGGTCAGTGTAAATGCATAAATGTACCATTAACGATAGAAAACAAACGGAAACAAACATTAAGTTTTACGCGTTTGAACCAAATGTCATAAACGTGAAAATCAAATTAGAAAGGTGTGTTTGTGAACTGTTTTCTAGCGTTTTAATTGAAAAGTGACAATTATTAAGTTCTTGTTAACAAACAATCGCACGGTGTGATGTTTAATGTCTATGAAGCCGTTATCAGTATTCAGCAGTAGAGCAGTTGGATGTTGTTATCTGGCATCCTTTTACCGTAAATATGTCGTCATGCCCCGGTGTCATTTGCCCAACAACAACTACTACTATCGTCCACCACAAAGTTCTTCTGTTTTTCAGTTTTCTTATTTCTTTCGCTAGAGTTCACATCACTCAAAATCAATTATAAGTACGAATTAAAACGCTCGATGTTATCGCTTAGGCATTGATTTTTAAGGAGAAAAAATCCAAAATAATCGACGTAAACACGCGTCACGCGACGGTACAAGTGGTCGATCTCTGAGATATTAATATTTCCCAGTTTTTCTTTGTCTATTTTTTCTGGTATTCCTTCTCGATCACGTAGCTTGGTGCCATACTCGATACAGATAAGCAGCGGCGGCGGAGATAACGCGAACACTCAGCGGCGCAACGACAACAACATTGAACGTAGTAACATACAACAATAACAACTTTGATTTAATAATTTTTTACCCATAGACCCATAGATTATAGTTTATAGTATTATTATTTATTGTTCTTTTAATGGCTACGTCGATCGTATTATTATAGTTGTTACGACTTTACGAGTTGTGTGTCCGTTGTTGTAGCCGTTTGCGCGACCTCTTCGAAAAACAACAACATTTCGAATAATAATATTGTGTGTCGTCCTTGCGCACGGTTGCGTCACACATATCATTATCCCATTTCGGTTTTGCGAACAGTCCCGTGTCCGGTGTCGCACACAACTGTTGTCGTCTGGCTTCCCGCTGTGGCAACTAACGTAAAGAAACCCCAAAAACAAAAGTGATAGGCACCAAACGCACGATCGACGACGAGTGTCAATTACTGTCCGTGCACATTACCGAGTGGTACCACACACCTACCCATCGAGCTTTTGACACTTTATATTTGTCGAAAAATGAACGTCGTTGTCTGAAACTCCTAATTACGCAGTAAGTAAGTTGTAAGAAGTGCTCATCATAGATACTAACTGGTGCCTACACAATTGTATTTTTCGGTTTTTTTTTTTTGTTCTTTATTGTCAGTCATAATAAATGTATATGATGCAATCAACACTAGGACACTACTATATCCCTACTTAAACAATCACTCGAGACCGATCTATGTAAGAACTTCATTTAGTGATTTTATTATAATTTATCAATATTTTTATTGGCTTTTTAAGTACTAAAATGTAAGTAGGTTCATAAATAAGTCTAGTATTTAATATTCAAATGTATAATACAATATACCTATTAAACATTTTTTAAGTAGGCATATATTGACTATTTTTCTTTAGGTGACTAGGTAAACCACTTAGCAATAATAGGTACTACTTCACAAATACTACTAACCTATTAATTCATTAATGCCGGGTTGCATGAACAATCACTTAACATTTAACAAATCAATAGTGAGCTAAAAGTCCCTTATTATGATTTAGTACCCCATGATTGTTCCATTAAATTGTATTGATCTATTAAATTAATCAATTTTTCATGCAACCTGGAATAAGTTTATTCATGAAACATAATAGGTATGATGTATATTTTGTTATATTTTTAATTTTGATGTCACCATAGGTTACCCTTTATACAGGAAATCAGTGGCATATCTAGAATTTTCAAAAGGGACCTAACCTAACCCCATACACATACAAATATACTATAATAGATAAATAATAAAATCAATTAGTAATTAATAATCATTAGTTTAAGACAGTCGACCGGGAGGAAGCAAAGAATAGCTCCCGGGATAAGCCACTGCAGGCAATATGTGGCCTTAATTTATTGGATTTTAAATTAGCCCCCAGAAAATTAATCCAGATTTACAGTAATTTAATCACTAAAATAGTGTTGTCTATTTTTATTTGGTACACAAGTCTTGCATATCTATAATTTTTATAATTTGTAAATTGGTTAATATTTTAGTTAAGTGCTTATACATTTTTTCTCGTTTTAAATTCCAAATTTTGTCTTTTATTAAGATTTTATTAAATATTGGAAGAGGTGATTTTCTGTCTTTGTCTAACATACCTACATGGAACATAGGAATTTAGATGTGTTGAATTTGTTATCAAGTCTACTTGAGATCAAATTTCCCAGATTCTTAATTAAACAAATATTGAAATATTCCTTATTTTTATTTAGGGAAATAAAATAAAAATTGATCGTGGGCCGTCAAAATCACAGATCACAAAATCGAGGTGAATATTTTCTGTGGTGTTAGACTTTTAATGAGTATTTTTTTATGATGACGTAGCGGAGATAATTTTGCATTGAATGATTTACTAGTTATCAATTCACCAAAAACAGATTATGTTTTATATATTATAAGTATATACTCGAGTATATTCATAACAATTTATCAAATATTACCATATAATAAATATGAAAAATTATTTTATATCAATTTATACCCGAATTTATATATTATTATAATAATATAGGTACCATATTATATTAGTTAACTTAAATGTGGTATAATAACAGAGGATGGTCGCAGCAAAACAAATATAATCTGTAGGATAGCACAGGCAAAAAGAGCATTTCAAGACAAAAGCCACATATTAACTACCAATAGTGTTAGCCTGGAAATAAGGAAGAAATTCCTAAAAAGTTATATTTGGAGCGTAGCGCTCTTTGGATCCGAAACCTGGACAATAAACTCAACGGAAAAAAATAGGCTAGAAGCCTTTGAGATGTGGTGCTACAGGAAAATGCTCAAAATACCATGGACTGAGAAGGTAACGAATAAAGAAGTACTAGACAAAATAAAGGAACAACGACAAATATGGAAAAGTATTCAATCAAGAAGAGGCAAGATGATAGGACACATTTTAAGGCATGAGAGTTTATTAAAGAAAATAATTGAAGGAGATGTTGAAGGACACATTGCAAGAGGAAGACCAAGAACAGAATACATGACACAGATAATGCAGGATACGAACAAGGGAAGTTACAAAGACCTGAAGGAATTGTGCTACGATAGAGAAGCATGGAGAGCTGCAACAAACAAATCTACGGATTTATAACAAAAAAAAAAAAAAAAAATGTGGTACCTAATTAATTTTATTATTATTATTATTATTACACACAAAATCATCAAAAATTGTCTTAATGACTATGCGTCAGGATAGGTACTTTAAATTTCAATAGTGATTATTTTTGTGAGATGTTTATTTGGTTGCCTTTTGTTGTCTACTCATAATACAGAAAATAATATTCTTTTGTACTTTTTTTGTTATTGGTCTCGAACCTGGCAAATATGGCCATTAGCTATTATATGGATTACGGTTGGAATGGTGGGTACGGTTGGTTAGCAACACGTGTATGTGTGGCAAGATTTTGCCACTATGAATCCAGGTGGTTGCCCATACTAGTGGTAGCGGCCAATACTTAATCTCAATCACGTTTCTTGACTAATTGCAACCACCGTGCCTTGCCAAGCCATATTCGAGTACTTTACATTACATAAAAATGTTAACTTTAGGGATCCCATTCATCCTGTTATTTATAGAATTATCCTCCATTGAATGAAGCTTTCTGCTGTCAAAACTTATCAATAACAATATTTATCAGTTTTCACAGTTCTTTCGTCAGTACCTACATGACTTGCATTTTTTTTTTTTTTTAATTATTTTATAATCTTTATGAATGGCATGTCTTTAGATAGGTAAGTTAGAAATACCCTATACATTTCAAATTTATCTTATATAATATAGTTATCAAACAAATACAATTAAAATATTTAATAACACCATTAAAGTATGTTTTTGATTAAATTAAATTTTTTTTAACGCATTCTTGACAGACAACAGTATTTTTTATTGTTTTCTACCTTATTTTCCTATATAATAAGCTCATGAAATATTTAATAACAAAATAAATAGTTAAACTTATGAAACCTTTGATCATACAGTTATTTTATTACATTAAATGCAATCTTACTTAATAAATACATTTTATGTTATTAATTATTACATAATATGTTAACTCATCAATGGTTGCAATATACACTCACGTTTTAATATGTTTAGGCATCAGTATACCACTGACTAATTTCTTACTTATTTGAACTGAAACTACTTATACTTTCAATTGACATATTTACTTATATAAATACAATTTTATGAAATCTACTTTCAATCAAATTTCAAAGTAATTTAATCACGAGGAATTAATCATAGCTTTTATTGTTATTTTTATTTTTATATTTATAATTGTTATTGTTGTGTACATAAAAATTATTAAAAAAATTATATAATATTGTATATGTTGTCTGGTTGTAGAATAGTATGTTAGTTACCTTCATGATATATAATATACTTAAGGTGATGTTCCTGATTTTGTATTTAAAACAGAATACATGGTGTCTTATCATAATAAACCGATGAAGAAAGTATTTATTTAACACTAGCTATCTAGATCACGGATAGAACACCTTGATCTAGATTAATTAATCATTAATGTAATTTATCAAATTTTATTACCAACTTAAAACAAATTATAGATATAGTAATGTACTATCATTCTTCATGGTACTAAATATAAATATAAATTATTATTATTATTATTTGGTTCATATGATTTATAGCCAATAGATAATAATATATAAATATATATATAATATATATATTTATTTTCAACTATGCAACATTTTAAAATTTAAATAAATGTTTAACGGGGTGCCACCATTGGGTGACTTCCCCCTCCCTCTAATCATCCCCATCCCATTTACTTATTGTAATACATGTAATTATAGATTGTAAATAAAAAATTTTGTTCAATAAAAAAAAAAAAAAAATGTTTATTTTTGTAAGAATCTTGAGGACATGTTATGTATAATATTATATAATATAAGATCAACCTTGTTGTTTTTGATTAGGTAATTTAAATTAATTTTAACTTAACTTCATGCTTAACTTCATAAATTAATTTTAATTCTCCAAATATTGTAATATAAATTATAAATAACTACAAGTATAATAAATAATTAATTATTTCATAATTAGTATTACTTCTTGTTGGTATTGGTAGAACTTAATTATTTACTATTTATTTCAGGCAGTTAATAATATACTTGATAAGCAATGCCGCTCTTCTACAGTGTAGTAGCCAGGGGTATGGTTGTACTAGCCAAGCATGCCAACTACCAGGGAAATTTCGGAGAAATTCTGGAAGGAGTCTTAATCCAAATTGGACCAGAAAACAAAAAACAAAGTTTACTACATGACCGTTACTTGTACCACTATATTTGTGAAGATCAAATAGTTTATATGTGTATCACAGATGATGTAAGTTTGAACATAAATTATTTTGGTACGATAACACTGTACAAATATAAATTAAGTCATTGTGCAATAATCTGAATGACTTTTTAGAGATTGTTGCAATGTTACTACTAAATATTACAATTTTAAAATAAAAAAAAGTGAATTTATAAGTTATATGATCAAGCATTCTACAATATGATTATTATTGTGTATTTATAGGAATTCCAAAGATCTAAAGCATTTTTTTTCTTAAATGAAATAAAACGAAGATTTCAAGCTACATACGGTCATCGTGCATCCAATGCTATTGCATATTCCATGAATTCTGAGTTTGCTCCAATACTTGCTTCTGAAATGGTACAAACATTGTATGCTATATAAAATATTTATTTCTAAGATAGTAACAAAATTTTTTTTTACAGAAACGATTTTCTAGTGTAAATGAATTTGATACACTATCAAAAGTACATGGAGAACTAGATGAATTAAAAGACATAATGGTTCGAAATATTGGTAAAAAAAATAAATATGAGCTTTATATCATTTTAATTATAACAATAAATTACTACTATTTTCAGACAGTGTAGCTCTTCGTGGAGAAAAGCTTGAATTGTTGGTTAATAAAACTGAAAACTTATGTTCACAATCCATGAATTTCAGAGTTCAAAGTCGTACTCTACAGCGTTCATTATTCTGGAAAAATGTCAAAATATATGTTTTATTTATAGCTATAGGACTTGTAAGTATATATTTATACTATGTAATAACTTTCACTGACTTAATCAATAATAAAATATAATATAAAATGTTAATCAAGTATTTGCTGTGTGTAACATGTTCAAGATCGGTAATATGAAATTGTTATTTTCACTGAGTTTTAAAGAAATGGAAAATCAAAAATGTGTTTTACCACATGCAATATTTTGTTTATAGAAAATTCATAAAATTGAATGCAATTGATTTCATTTTTCCAATTTCTTCTGAAAATGCTTGAATAAATATTTGTTATAAATTGAAACTATTTCAAAAACAAAATAGAAAGGATTCTAAAACTTAAGTTTTAATTAAGTATATTCATAAAAAGGATTTTGTAAAATTTATATAACCTTCAGAAACAAATTTTAAAATTCACTAATATGATATTTTTTTTCCAGGCTATTATTTATTTCATGACTGCTTTCTTCTGTGGATCACTTGCTCTCAATTGTAGTTAAATTTTATGAAATTATAATATTTTTTTATGTATACTTATGCCAATACAACGTCTCAAATTTTATATTTACAAGAAAAATTACAATACCTATGCTTAAAACGTATTTATACTTAATTAATGTAAAATGTAATTATTATAGATTTCTTTTGTTATATCTTTTTAGTCAATTGTTATATACATGTTAGACATTGAAATATTGTGATAAAATATACTTTTGTACAATAAATTATTCCTCAACAATTTTTACTATAAACTATAATCTTTTAAGTCAAAAATTGTATTTTACTTACACTCATATTATGTCCATTTTTTTTTTTTTTAATTAGTATATTTTATTTAGTTAGTAAGTAGTTATTTGTTCTAACTCAAGAACAAAATAATTTCACAGGAATAATCAAAAAACTATCACATTTTCTAAATAAATACAATATATAATATTATATTTAGAAATGTTGTAATTTATATTTAGTTTACATAATTCAAAATTAATTTTTGAATTTTCCGTGTCAAAAGTAGATTAAGAAAATCACTTTATTTTATAAAGTATAAAATCTTATACTTTCAAAATTCTACTATCAAAAGTTAATATTGGATAGTAATGATTGTATGTTAGTTTAATATCTACAATCCAGCTATGAAAAATGATCTTTCATTTATATTGTAAGCCCAATGGTATAATGACTGAATGGTTTAAAGTAGAATCCTTTTTATTAAATCTGTTCATGTTATGTAACTGTAAGGTGGGAACATATATTCAAAATACAAATAATATAATTAGAATATATTGAGATTAATAGAAATAATATTAGCAATGATTTTTTTTTTATCACTAGCTTAAATGATAAAAAAAAGAATTATTTTAATATTTATAATACATTTCCAAGGTTAGGTAATGTATATGAGCGATTCTCATTATTTTAAATTATTAAGTAAGTTAAAAGTAAGATGAATGTTGCCTGCTGCCAAGCTTATCATAGCACTGGTTGATTGACTTATCACTAGGGCTTTGATTTCAATACATTTGCATACTTTTTTTTTGGAATGTCTTACCCAATGCTTTCCAAGCTACAAATGTGTTTCAAGTACTCCATGTTGTAACCCCAACATTTTTTGTGGCATTTATGACGTTTTTTATGAATTTTTTTAATTTATTAAGGCATTTATTACCTATTTCTCCTATAATGACTAAAAAATTGACTTCATTGAAATATAAACTTAGTAATATAAATAATTTTCATTTTGAACTATAGGTATAACATCACATAATCTGATTTTTAATTAGATAAGGATGAAATTTATCTTTATGTCGCGTCACATCAACCAATAATTAGCCAGTTTAATTGCAAACATATTTTAACGGAGTATTACAATTTAGTACAGTGTAATACAAATTTAATTTATATTTAAAAACGTGCTTACACAATTTTAAATGTTAAATGCATTTTTTTTATATTTCTAGAACATTTAAATCCGAGCCCTACTTATTATATATAACCCTAAAACGCTTGAAATTCATTGATTCTATGAATATTGTTTATTTATAGGCATTTACTAATATACATATATATATATATATACACACACACTCAGTAGTTTACCTATATGAGGGCGGGGCATATGAGCCTATACAAAGTTTATATAATAAAAATTTGATTTAGGAAAAAATTTCAAACTTTTAATAAATCTTACTGAAAAATCATAATTTTTGACTTACCACCTATTAAACGCGCACCAAAGATATATAGGTTTAGATCGTTAATTTATTTACCTGTATATAGTTATAGTTATTCCAATTTATATAAAAATCATGTAAATATCTTAAAATATTATTTCAAAGTATTTAAAAATGCCTCAACAATTTTAAAATCCTCTAAATAATAAAAATAACAACCTAACAATTTAAAATTGTTATGAAGAACGCTTGAATATAGACTATACTATTGATAGTACATTGGGATATAATACTAAATTTTAAAGACATACTAGACATTTTAGCAAAAAAATATATGGAATCATACATTTAATTTAATTGAATTGTTTACTTTATTATCTTTGAATTACCATTTACCATTTACCTCATTTAATTTATAATGATAAATGAATATAATATTATAATGCATGATAATTAACGAACAAGGGTGATATGGAGGGCGTAGCCTATGATTATAAAAACGTATATCCTACCCCAGAACCAATTCATATTTAAGCCATTGATAATAATTATGTTCATATATGTTCTTAGTTGACTTGTGATGATTCTATTACATTTATTTCGTATAAATTAGCTGATTGTGGTACATGTTTTATTACCACAATTTAAGATACACCTTAAGAAAAAAATAAAAGCTTCCTACCTGATTTAATTTATCTTAGAACTGTCCTTCAATATGCTATTAAATGGTATCGAAAAGCATTTAAAATACAACCAAATCCTTATGCTGGAATCAATCAAGCAACATTATTATTAGTTGCTGGAAATGAATTTTCCAAGTCTGAAGAATTTCAACACATTGGTAGCTATATGTAAATATTATTTTTATTAATTGACTTAACAATAATTAACAATATGCAGTTGTACACTTCTATAGTTTTCAAAGCAGCGAATAAAAATGTATATGTTCATTTACGGTATTGTCTCTAATTTTTCAGATGCATATGGTTCTGAAACATACAATTTTAATTGATCAATAAGTTGTTTTTGTGTCTTGGTCAGGTTGGTCAAATGCTAAATTTGCTCTGATTAGCAGGTAAAAAGTTAATGATGAATTTTGTGTTACATTACCATCAGTTTGGAATGCTGGTATAGCTCATTTGGCGCATGATAGGCTTTACCGCAGTGGCATACATATGGAGTCTTGAATGTGTGCACACGATTGTCATGATAGCGTAGATTCCTGGCATCGTTGAATGACTTATTGCATTTTAAACATTTAATTTTTTTAAAATTAGGATCATGTTGTGTAGCCATATGGTGTTTAAGATTAAATGCATGTGTATATGTTTTTCCACATTCCAGACATTTATAATTTTTACCACCAATATGTATGGAGGAGTGCCTCCTTAAAGTGTCCAATCTTTTATAGTATTTTTTACAAAGATTGCACTGATGTAATCCCACTATTGCATGTGTTACAGTGTGCCTGTTATACGCCGATTTAAACCTGAATTGTTTTTGGCATACTTTGCATGTGTAGGATTTTTCTGAAACACCATAAACACATACTAATATTCAGTCTTGTAAAGAATACTTTTATTTTGTATTCGGAATACATATTCGAATAAATGAGAACTAAGGTATTCAGAATACGTATTTGAATTGTTCTTAAAAAATATATTCAGAATACATATTTGAATACTTTTAAAGTATTCGAATACTATAAGAATATTTTTTTTCACAACAAGTTTTTGTCAGTTTTTGAATGGTTGGTAATTAACATTAAAAACATTGTAATCATAAGTTATTTATAAGTTTTGACCACATATAATACGGCCGACACGGACCATACAAGTATACAACACATTGGTGTTTATAAAAATAATCATATCATGGGCCAATATTATATTTTGTTCAAAGAATAAAACTAATATTCATGATGTTCCTGATATAACTATGTTTCAGGATCGGAAAAAAGTATTTTTTTAATGAATAAAAAATACAAATAAAAGTATTCAGAATACGTATTTATATACTTTTTAAAAAAAGTATTTAAAATAGTATTCGTATACAAAAGAAGTATTCAAATACTTAACAAGACTGTTAATATTTTCAATTGCTTAAAGCAAAAATATTGTATGTGAAAAATAATGACACGTTTTAGGTAGGTAAATCTTATACATCATGAAAAAAAATATAATAAATATAAAAAACCAGCATTGTTATTACCTATAGTGGCAGTCAATTTAGCAATATCCTCATTACCATCACTATCTTCCAATCTAGTCGTTGTAACTATGGCAAAAAATAAACATTATATCATGACAAAAATAAAAATGTATAAAAACAGCGTTGTTTATTACCGTCAGTGTCAGACAAATTCCTCCCAGTTACAGTTGTTGGTTGTAACACTACCTCCTCTGAGAGTATGAGGGGATGCATACTTACTACTGTAATAAAAATATAATGATATCAATGTATTTAAAACAATGGTATAAGTTCAATTGCAGAAATAAACATGGGGCACAGACAGACAATTTTTAAAGCCATTTGTTCATAATACATTAAATAAATATATGTAATAATGGATGAAGGTCATATTATTAGATGAAAAATAATAATAATAATTTTACTCAGTTGCAAGCAGGGCTTCAAACCGGTTAAAACCAATTTTGTTACTAACCGGTTATATTGGAAAATTTACATGAACGAAATTGAAACCGCAATTAACTATTTTATAGAATGAAAACGAAATGTTTAGTTAGAATTATTTTTAGTTCTTGAACAAAAAAAAATTATTTTTAAATTGGGATTAAAAAATGAATAATAATAATCATGATTGTTTATACTTTTGTTACGAATGTTGGTCATTCTGTTTCTAATATGATAAATGTTAGTGATTTCCAACACCATTAAACAGTTTGCCGCCTTTAATGCTGATTAAGTATGCAGTATGCAATAATTTGATAATCTAAGACCGTGCATGATATTGTTGGTAACAGTCTTTTATAATTTTATGCATGATGACTAGAGATAGTCTAGAGATATCTCTAGCCTTCATGATTTAATTATATTAAAACATAAAAATTATAAAATAAAGTTAATTTTATATGTAGTTGTATTTTTTTCTTCTTATGGGAGTAGAGAGTAGATACATATAATTCAAAAATAATTTAAAAAAATTAACCTATTTTATTAACTTAAAAACTGGTTTTTAATAACCATAAAATGTAGGATCGATATTAACCGGTTTATTAAACTAGAAAAAATTAAAGAACTAAAACCATTAACCACAACACATCATTTCAGTTTGAAGCCCTGGTTGCTGGTATATTTAAGCATCTGGG